TTCATTTTCATTAATTATTTTGCAGCATGGCTTGCAGTTGGTGATAGAGAGGGGCGTATCTCAGTTTGGAGCTTACAGGAAGACAGTGAAAAGTCAATACCGACTTTCGATAAATGTCTGGATGTCTGGAAAGACAAGGACTTGATGTCTGTATCCAATATGGCGTGGACCACGGTTGCTCCCACAGAGGTAAATAATTTTGCTAAGAGCGTTATGACTTGCCTTCAAAGGTCCTTTGAAAAATTGTCACATCTTGTGAGGACATGTCTGGGAGAAGTACAGACTTATTGAAAGATAGGTTGGAACCAGTCCATTAAACTATCAGCCTAGTGGAAACGATGCATTTTGAAGCATTGATGAAAACCCTCCACCAATAAAAATCTCAGCAAGATTGCTGTCCAGTGTCTTTGATGGCAAGCTTGATTCAACTGCTGGGCATTGCCTCATGCGCTGTTGTTTGTGTTCTTTGTGGAAGTATGTTGCCTAGTGGTTAAGGATTTAGAACTCTGAAAAATTAGGGTCAGGGCTCAAAGCCAGCTGCTGGCTACAGGCTGTGACCTTGGACAAGTCACTTTACTGCCCACTTGCACGTCTTCATCCAGGGGTATGAATAGTTACCTGTGAGGGTACGGATGATTTCTTGTGTTTGATGGTCTGATTCTCCATTTGTGTCCGAAATGGTGGCATCAAGCTGTAAACTTCCCCAGGAGCTGAGGGGGTTTCAGAGAATGTTAATGGGCCAATGAGCTGGGATAATGATGTATCACATTGAACACCAGTGACGGTAGATATATGTGCTTTATGAATATCTGTGACTTCTCCCCGGCGCAAATTCATCCTTGGAAATACTTGTCCATGGTACCCGCCGCTACATCTGACTCGAACCAGCCAGCCGACACCGGCAAGCTGGGTGGTCGAGTGGTTAAGACGTCTGCACTAGTAAGTAGTAAGTTGTGGGTTCGAGGCCCACCAGGGTACGCTTGTGGTTTTTTCACAAGCCTTCAGGGGCAAACACAGAGTACACAGTGTAATAACACACCCCGGGCAGGGCAAAAATCCACAATTAATTTATGAATATCCCTGATTGTTATTATGATCATCTTCAATCCTTATCATTAAGTCCAAAATGCAGTTCTAGTGTCTGTTGAAAAGGACCTAAGTGTCTTAAGCCTTTACTTAGGTGCAAGTTATAATATCTTTCCTTAAAGGAGTCGCCAGGTACTGCAACCCTTGTTGTGACCAAAGGCCTATTTCTCATGGCATTCCTGGTTGACCTGGGCAGCAGGACTGTGGTTCGGCACACCCACACCCCTGACCAACACACTGTACCGGCATCAAGTAAGAAATATTCTGGCCAGAGCTTATCAAGAGAAATTTAGGTAGATGAACGGATGAATAAGTGGTTCTTTATTGCTAATCACGTTTCTCTCTATAGTGTCGTAGTTGAGTCCATTGCAAGTCGTTTCATGAGTCCCTTCATCACAAGCTTAGTCAGAAGTCCAGTCATAAGTAACGTGGTGAACAATGATGAAGGAATGCTTTTGCCAGAGTTCTCTTGAACAGCTTGTGACTTTCTTTGTGACTGAATGGCTTTTGATGGAGTTGCAGGGACTTGTGATGGTCTTGACTATAAAACTTTTACTGTTGGTAACGTGTTATTGAAATGGAACAAAACGCACATAGTTGAAATGAAAATGCTACTTGGTGCAGCAAAATACAACAGGGCTGAATTGGTGACCGCTGCTGAATGCTGTAAAATGGGACACAACTGAAATGAGAGCCATGTTGAATGCAACAAAATGCAAAACAGCCACAGTAGAACCTTACCGAATACAACAAAGTGGAACACACGACTGAAATGAGAACCGTGCTTAATACAACAAAATGTAAAACAGCTGTAATAGGACCTTACTAAATGCAACAGTTTGCAACACATGGCTGAAATGGAAACCATACTGAAAACAACAAAATGCAACACAGCTGTAATAGGACCTTACTAAATGCAACAGTGGGCCACAAATGGCTGAAATGAGAACCATGCTGAAGACAAAACGAAACACAAGCACAACACAACTGCAACGCAGCTGAAAACAAGCTCCCCACCAAATACAGCAGTACTTAACACTGAAATTGCATTGCAACAACTTTGGACCACTGTACCTTAATCACCAAAATATATCATTTCAGTAAATGCTGTCTTTCATTGAAGGTATGTGTGTTTCTGGAAGCATAGTGTTGACAAGTAGCACATTTGGTGCGGTTCATCAGACCGTCATCGACTGGACAAAGTCGGGTAAATGTCTTTTTTTCACTGTTCCTCACCACAGAACTCTGCTTGCCGCACTAGCATTTTGCTCAACAAAACATTATACAATGCTTATTGCTTCCAACTGGTTCCCTGGTAAATCTTCCTTTTCTTCAAATTGCAAACGTAGACCGAGTTTGGGAGATGGAAGTTTTGGAACCCCCAGATGCAAACACCAAGTCTTCGGGTATTGCACTCTCGCCCCATGGCATCTTTGTAGCAAAAGCAGTGACGTAAGTGTCCTCGGGTATCATTAAATGAACCAATAAACTCATCCAGGCTCTCCTGTCACTTGCCCCTTCCAACCCCGCCCGGAAGACCTTTCATAAAGACAAGTCACCAGTTAAGCATGGTGAACAGTTGACGTAGGAACGCTTTTGTGGAGGTTGTTTTGAACAGACGCAAAGATGAAGCTGCCGCAAACTGCTCACTGACTGGTAAGAAGTGAAATAAATCAATCAAAAATAGCGCGGCCTGACGTCAGGACGCACTTTTTTTGATTGATTGTTTTGAATAGTACGCGTGATAGACTTGTGGAAGGTTGTGAGGACATGTGATGACGTCAAAAAGGGTGATGTCAAGGTGTCTTTAAATTTTTCAGGGCTCGCATTGGCAAGAGGAAGCCTTACCCAAAGTCCCTGAATTTTCACACTTTGGGAAAGATGGACACCGTCCTGGCCAGATTGCTGGACTGCCAAAGTAAGTGAATAACCATGAAGTGAGTAATCACCAGCCCCAGTCGCCACCTGTCCAGCACACCTGTTGGTACAGAAAGATGACCAGATGAAGCGATTGTGCACTTTCCGCTTTCCGTCTTATTACCAATGCTAAAACTGTCATTCATGGGTCACACTGAATGTGTCTGACCAACAGCATGCAGGTGTACAAGAATGAATGTGTCTGGCTGCAATTTTTTTATTCTATCCGTCGCACTTAAAATGTGAAACATTCATTTTTTCTATATTCAACACTTGAAAAATCAGTGAACTAAAATGTTTGTATGTAACCTTTCATGGCTTTTCTGAGGGATGAGGCTTCAGTCAGGTCTCATGACAAACTTTTGGAAGGGAGGGAAATGAACCCCCCCCAAAAAAAATTGCCTTTCTCATTATTTCTCCCCACCCAATTTTTGGTGCTCTTTTGCCACCATTGTCCTCTGATCTCCCCCTGAATTGGGCTTGATGGAGGTTTCTGTTTTTCACAATTGCTTCTTCCAGGAGACCTGGGCGAGAAGACTGACCTGCTAGAGTTCATCCGCCAGACGGCGGTCAACGCAGTCAACGGCCTCCCTCCGGAGTTAGAGTCCCTCGCCGACGGGGAGTCGATCGTCGAGGCCTCGCGGGGCCGGGAACAGGACCGCTCCGACTGCTACACCCTGCGACTGCGGCGGTTCCTGCTGAGGCTGAGACTGGGCAGGGCCCGGGGGGCCGGCAAGGATGCCGAGGGGGAGAACGGGAAGGAGGGACAGATACAGCAGCTGGTAGGTACACCAGGAGAGTGCTCATCAACTGGATCAAAGCTCATTCCATCTCATTTTGTTTACTAAGACAAGAGACTGATCCATTAAGCCCCGCTCCATTATTTTCTGACCGATCTCCGTGTAACGTCCGACCTGCGTGCACAACAGTCTGAAATGCATGCATGGTGCGTACGATGTGTGCTGTTGGAACATTGGAGAAGAGCACAGGCTAAGTCCCCACTTGTGTAGTGGCTAGGCTTACTGCATCTGTCTATGGCCACTACTGGTTTGGTTTGGTTTATTTCACATCCTCGTTAACACTGCAGCTAGATGAATAATGAAAATAAAGTCAGTGGAACAAAGATACGCAATGTTGTGATATTAATTCATGTACAATAAATGAGGATGTAGGATGCTGGGAAAAAAGCTGCGGCTTATACCAGACCCAGCACCCCTTCTTACGATGAACATTCCATGTCTACACGTTTTTGACAAAATATAGTTACTTCAAATTGTGTCAATACAATACAAATACATTTAGCTGGTTTGGATTGAGGCAGTTAAGGATTAGAAATAAGGTCTTTAGTAATACATGTAAAAAGTACCATGAATATTTATGAGTTAAAATCGCAGGTAAGTAAGAAACTCGTAAGATTTTTCTTGAATAAGCCTTTTGCGAGTTAACTTTGACCCAAATTTTGTGCACAGAGTTCTTTACAATCACATGAATATAACAACTTGAATTCTCCTTACTAAAACCACTGTTGCTATACTTCGTGATCTGGGGCAAGCTTTTGCTTAGTTACATGAGAGACGCCTTGCAACAATACACTGTTCTCAATGGATAAGAAGGGCACAAAGGAACCAGTCCATTCCAGAGATGTGGTTGCTATGTGAAAGCCTGCCCTAAATCGTTAGGTATAGCAACAGTGTCTTTAGTCTGGGGAATTCAAATTGTTATGTTTATGTGCAGTCAGATAACTCAGTGCACCAGACTTTATTCAAATTTACCTCGCAAATGGCTTATTGATAAACGGTACGCGTTGGGGATAGGCAGTTTAAGCTATTCCATAAAATGCAAGTCGTGTGCAAGTCGCTATGAACAAAATTAACACTCCCGACTGACACGGCTCTTTCAACCCATGAGGGGGTGCTTCTACCCGAGGCGGCTACCGACATGGAAGATCTGCCCTATCATTGCGGCCATATGCCAACTGGCACTCGTGCTTTGTTCTTGGATGGCCTTTCCTCGTTGAGGTACCGAATAGTCTTATCGGCCAATGCCGCATTGGTTACATAATTCATTGTCTAAAACAGTTGCTGTTTATGGCTATGGCTATTCTCTGTGCTGGGCCAGAGCTAAAGGCCAAGACAGAGATTTGGATGCGACTTAAAATCGGCCAACTATTTCTCACCAACTTTTTCCTGGTAATAGAGGTTATGCGTTGCTGGTGTCCCCAGAGGCTGCTTCTGTTATTCCGTTTAGTTACAATGAATACACAAAAGGTTTACACGAGCTTTTGCTCCCTGAGGATGCGCTAACACAACTTCCATTGTAAACTGTCCTGTGAATCCTTGGGAATCTTTTGATTAAAAAAAAAATCAGGAAATTGGACTTTAAGTCTTAACTTGGATTTTGTTGTTCGGTTAGTGTTAGATGTTTTCTTTCCTGATCTTTGTGTGTCGTTTATTTGAAAAGGAAGCAGGCATATTGGAGATCGAAAGAGAGCTGCGACAACTGCACATAGTGAAGGCCCTTCAGTCATGGCAAAAAATGTCCACAGAAAAAGTTGCTGACAATGGTAGGTTAAGCATCTGGTGCACTTTCACTTGTGTGCTTGTTCTTGGCTCTGTAATTTGAATATCACAACAGGGAACTGGTGTGGTTGGCCTGTCATCAATTTTGCTGGAAGGAAGAAAATTGAAGTGGGAGGGTCTGTGTTTTAAAGTTTCCAAATGAAATTGTCCTTTGCATTTGAAATTTCACTTTCAAAATACAGTTCTTTATAGAGGTGGACAATCCACTGACATGAGATCAATCAACTTTTGTTCCAAAACAAGAATTTCGATAATCAGCAGAGCTATTGTAATTCAATTTTTAAAAACTTTTTACTTTCTTGCATAGCAACATCTCATACCACCGCACTGTTGCTGATGGCTGATTGGCTGTCAACCTGCAGCAGAAGCAAGGATGAGCCAATCAGGAGTCTGGTTACAGAGGCCTATAAATGCAATCCTCACGTAACAGAGGTGGGGAAGAGAGAGTCATGTGACCTGTGCGGAGAAAATATCCTCTGTAAAATTGCAAAGAGTTTAAGAACTGTTGTCTTAATGGAAGAATTTTCAACCCCCAAGAAACTAGAAACACCTAAAATGCATACCGTATTATGGAGTATGCAGTTATATAAATGAGCTGACCCTGGGCAGTGTTCGTACTTTTCCCATGAACGGTGTTATCTTCAGCAAACACAAACCAACATTTAAAATGATCAAATACCAGAACTACAAAGTCTTTTATGCGGTTTCAGGGATTAGAACCTGGATACTCGGATAGGAAATGCATTTCAAATCGGAAGAGCATGTTCCTTGACTATGTCATACTTATAGCATTCACCAGTGCAATTTACGACGCCTGCCTCAACGGACACAGATGGAGTGAGTAGAGGGTTTATTCGGTCTTTTGATAGCATTTTGTGTTTGTTTTATTGCAGTGTTGGTATTTAACTTTTGGGGGGGATGCAAACACTGGTTTTGTTATGAAATTAGTCCATTTCTCGATGGGAAATTGTGCTCACTTAAAAAAGTCAGGGACTTGGCAATGGATAATATAACACAGCACCTACAAGTGTTCATAAATGTACTTGTTAACCTCATTTCTCTTACAAACTCAGTCCAAGTCTAGGGTGGGTACAGGATCAAGTTTCTTTTTTAGGGGGGAGGGGAGAATGTGGGAGTTTCATAATGCAGCCTTTTTTGAGGAACTTTGGGGGCTTTTTATACAGTTCGGGGTGGCAGAGAATTGGAGGTCCTGAGAAATCACCTTCAATTACAATGATTTAAAAACAAAACAAGATTGTTCCTTTTGGGGGGCAGGCTCCTCCTGGATATGCAAATGAACATAATTTTTAATCACAGACTTTCAATCATCTCCCCAGCTCGGTGTCAGTTGAGCCTACTGCTGTGCCAGACAACGTCCAAGACTCGCGAGTGTGTGCTCTGTGACGGTTTAGCCCTGTCAGCACAAGACCATTCTGGTAAGGTACTACACAAGCAGGGGATGCTTTCGTGTGCGAACCAATGCTGCTGTTTTTGGTTGTTCCTACAAGATAAAGAACAGAAGTAATTTTTTATGCCCCATATGATATTTTGGCTCTGTCATTCCTTCCAGCATTTCAGTAGAATTTTTTTTAACGCTACAAAAAAGAGATATTTTTGGTCAAGCACCGAGTCTGGTTATGGTTGTATTCCCTCGTGTAAAAACAAAGTAAGATGCCATTATTGCGAGATAACACTAGATCGATATCTCAGAAGTGTACACACGAGATGAAGCGCATCGTAGGTCACAGGAGAAAGCAAAAGCTGTACGCGAGGCTGGAGACCATATTCCAGATCTCATATGCAGGTCAAATTGGTGTGACTTTGGGTGCTTTGTTCTCGGATAACTTAAGCTTTTTGAAATAACTGAGCTGGTTTGTTAACACATCCCTGTTGTTTTTGGAGTTACGCTGTTTGAAAGTCCCATATAACATTACCCTCAAGATCCTGCTACCTGTGACGTTGAAATGCAAGCTTTCCTTGAGAGTTGTTGTAAGTGTCGGCTGGTTCAGGTCACGTTGGCTTTACTTACATGTATACTAACGCTCTTGCTTTCTCCTCACTCGTTAGATTGTGTCTGGCTGAGGAAAGTTCTACAACAATGCTGCCCCGTCTGCGCATCTGTGTTTGTGCCTTCGTAGCCACTACAAAAATAGTCTTATCTCAATTCAACAACTGAATGAAACATATACCGTGCGCGGAACAACTTTAGAGGGCGCTTTGAGGATGGTTTGTGACAGCCTCATTGGTGGTTCAAAACTTAAAATGGTTCAGAACTACAGGTGACTCACTGACTACCTACCAAACCAGATGCGCACCAGATGTGTATGAGAAACATTAGTCAAAGTTGTAGTGGCACAGTAAGTGGGAAGCTTTGAAAGACCGTGTCCGATTTACTTGGCTATGGCTAGAAATTGCCTACAAATCTATGGGAACTGGCTGCAGCCACTACCATAGACTCGTGCGTAATTTCAAGCAGCTGCTAAGTAATTCGGACGTGGCTAAAATTGACCTTATGGTTGGAGTTGCTGTTTCCTCATCAGTTCTACTTCAAGTACTGGTCAAGGGACAAGGTATCAGACCTTTAAATGTCCGGGGGGGCGAGGCAGTAGGGAGTGGAGTCTTTTGTACGAAAAGATACTTTCAGAGGAAAATGGGAGCATTGGGTTAACCCCTTCGCGCCGGGATTCTATTGACCGTGACTGCTGGGCTGTGGTATACCCTGAATGGAGGGCTTTGTCCATCAGCAGGTCCCATTGAACCAGCAGCTGCATGGTGAATAGACTGTATGTGTGTTACGCACTAATCCTCACACAAAGCCACGGCTCTCGCCCTCTCCCGGGGCGAAGGGGTTAAAAAGATCAAGAAAAGGGCTTGCAAGACCTCTGTGGAACTCTACCATCTTTGTGGAAGTAAACCGTGAAGTTTGTAGAGTTGGTAACCTACACGTATGAATTTAAATAGATGTGCATTACTTTTCAAGTAGAAAATAAATGTACATGCATTCGTTCTGTGAAACAAGTGGATGTGGAAGGTGTTAAAGGAATCTGAACGAGAGCTCATTTAACACAAAACGAGCAGTGTGGAAATTCTCAGAATGATTGTGATTAAAGAATCTAGATATGACTTTTTTTTGTTTAATTTCACTGGAGTTACATGAGATGTTTTAATGAAAGGCATGCTTTTGCTTGAACAAAATGATCTGCCAGATGGAAACAAATATTTAAAAAAGGGAACAGATATTAAAATTGTCTGACAGAATATTTATTTTTTGAAGTCATGAATTTGTTCGTCAGAAATTCATCCTTATTTTGGTCAAAAGTGTGTCATACTCAGTCAGAAATATGGCTGTAAGTTGAAACAACTGTAGCTAGTGTCTTGTTCCGTGGAAAATGTGGCTGGAAATTAAGACTAGCCCGAGATGCTGGATTTTGTTGGTACAACGTTTCACTGGTGCACAACACCCTTATTTGTGATGGCGAACCTGCATAAATAACCCGGAGTGGGTAAAGTTCTCAGAGCTGTGAAATGAGACTGAGTTGATATTTGACGGTGTGCATGAACTACATGTTCATGTCTTTTCATTACAAATCGATGAGTGATAAGCTTATTCCAGGCACTGCACATAAACTCATGATGTTCATAATCTGAGTGAGACGGGTTTGAGCGTGTAGTCGGCGTGACACAGTCCTCGTCGGTCCGGAAGTAGCTCCGTTGGCCGCGCTGGATGAGAGCTGGCTTGGTTGTCAGCAGCACCAGCTGGTATTCACCAATCAGACGCTTGATGACGGCGACCGCTCTCCGCTGATTGGCCTCCTGCACCGAGGCTACGCTCCCGCTCATCCTGTCTGTCCAATAGAAAGCGCCAACATTCTCCAGCATCAGGACGCCGACGTCAGGCCTGTTGGCGATGAGCGACTCCAGCGAGTGCAAGGTAACGACGAGCTGGTCGCTCCCTCCGCCGGCGCGGACCAGATAGAACCGGTTCAGGCAGGTTTTGATGAATGCCTCTATCTGGTCAGCCGTGGGCATCTCAAAACAGTCACCACCATCTGCCGGATCCCCACTGCCCACCTGTTCTTTTATCCTTTTACTGCATTCACCATTGCATGATATGATCTGGCCAGTTCTTGTCCTTTTTCTGCCAGTCTGTTTACCCATTTGAACGTCATCACACAAACAGCTTTTCCTGTTAACATTGAGTAATTCTGTACGGTCACTCACACTGGTCCCATCACTGGTTGTACGTTGTGTCTCGCACATTTTACAGGTTCCCAATTCAGGCCGAGAAGGCTCGGTCTTCAGATCTGCATTCCCACTGGGAGTTGATGCATCTGCTGCAATGCCATAATAAAAAGATCAAATTAGCAGTTAACAGACAATGCCGTAACCGATTAGGAGTGACCAGAAAACCCCCCACTAAAACAGAGCAAAACAATTAAAAAAATAACACTTGCTTCCACCTTCAAACTAAAACCTTGCAAAAATGAATAGAACCTCTTTTAACAGTTTCAGTTACACGGGGCACTAAGTGTGAGAATTCCAGACCTGAATTCTCTCCTCACAGAAGGAATAACATGCCTAAACTGGCACTCTAACCAAGTACCTGACTAAGAATTAGACGCCGACCCTCCCCATGACCTCCTAGTCAAGATCCCTAGAGGATGTTTCAGCAGGAAACTAACCAAGTACGTAAACTTGGCCTTTTCACCTTCATAAATAAGTTTTAATTAACGTCACACTTTACATCCAACACAGACACAAACCTTGCAATGACTAGTCTCTTTTTTAGGCCATTTCGTAGTTCAAGTATTGTGAATGTATTGATTTATCATTTCGATGGGTACCAACGACTGGAGTCTGCTATGACTTACATGCACAGCATGCAGCTCGTGGCTCTTTTGGTCTTTCAATCCCTGCCTTCCTCTGTTCCATGGCATCTATTATCCGGCTCTCCAGGACCTGGAACAACCGCAGCATGGAAAACTGGAAGTCTGTGTCCACCAAGATCATGCCCACCCCTCTGCCACCCAGCTCTGCCCCCCTCCAGGTCTCGGGGAGGATGCAGTTGCTCGTCAGGTGGAGGAGAATCTCGGTCTTGCCGCACCCACTGGGCCCATAGAACTCGACCGCATCGCCGGGACGAAGGAAGTGGGGAGGCGGGAAAAGTCTGAGGTCCAGAGACTCGAGAGAGGGTTTACTCCCCAGTCGGGCAAAAAGCTAAAAATGACCAACATGACAAAAGAAACTAGACTATTCAAAATTATTTGAACCTTTGTAATGGAATAAGGACGTATTGTGACTTAAATTTAAAACTGGATTTAAATCATGTAGGCCCTATAAAAAAAGGATAATTATATAACTTTGTTATGCTGACCTATCGTCAGCATGATCAGAAACACTTTTTACCTTGTGGTTGGGCAGCCTATGCTTTTTTTATTAAATCGTGGAGAATACTACAGACATGACCATGATGACAGAGCTACGCCTAGCTAGGCCTACTCTTGTTTGTGTTCGAAATACCTTTATTGACATCAAACAATTGTCAATAAGAAACACCAAAAGCTCAGACAGAATAAAATCTAAAAAACATGGAGGGCCTGACATTTTGATCCTAGCAGAATCTTCCTCAAAAGGCAAAATGACAAGTGTGCTTGATTGTCCTGTCCACTTGTCATTTTGCCTTTGAGAAAGATTCTGCTAGGATTGAAACGTCAGGCCCTCCTTATTTTGAGAAATGTATTTTAGGTCATTGTAGTCAGCAAGCAGTTTGCAGCAGGATATCTTTAGAAAGAATTAAAGTTATAAACGTACGTCGCAGAAGTTTACAAATAGACAAATTGCACAATTTAACCAAAGAGCACCAAGGGAAGACACTAAAATTGTAAAAACAAG